AAAGCTTCCAGGGTTATTGTTAGTAGATAAATAAAGTCAACCTTCAGTCTCACAGCTTCCTGGGTTATCGTTAACAGATAAAGTTAACCTTCAGTCACTCAGCTTCCTGGGATATTGTTAACAGATAAAGTTAACCTTCAGTCACACAGCTTCCTGGGATATTGTTAGAACATAAACAAAGTTAACCTTCAGTCTCAAAGCTTCCAGGGTTATTGTTAGTAGATAAAGAAAGTTAACCTTCAGTCTCACAGCTTCCCGGGTTATTATTAACAGATAAAGTTAATCTTCAGTCTCAAAGCTTCCAGGGCTATTGTTAGTAGATAAAGTTAACCTTCAGTCTCACAGCTTCCAGGGATATTGTTAGTAGATAAACAAAGTTAACCTTCAGTCTCACAGCTTCTAAATAGCTTAAAGTTAATACACGCTTTAATCATGTCAAAGTTTTAACAAGCAAATAGAACGATTGTAAGATATAAGAAAGACGTAATATAAAATAAAGACACTTTGTTCAACGAAAACTGGTTGTACCTCATCTTAAAAATCAGTTAGGTGAAAACAAAAATGCTGATTTGAAATCCATCCCAATAAGAAGATAGAAGCAATAGTTACAATCAGCAGGCTAGATCCGAGTAATTATTGATAAAGTCATCCACAGAGACATTTGTCTTACCTTTTTCCTTTACCGATATTATCTATCTCCACGTGGTAAAAATCCCGAACTACAGACATTGTGACGTCACAAGATGATTCCTCTGCTCTCGTGCTGTATTCAAAATAAAAATAGGTAATATTAATAGCTTGTTTCAAAATGTAAATATTTCAGAGAATATTTATCTTCAGCGTTATGTCTAGTAGGAATAATTACGTTAGTTTTTTTAAAAATATCTCTAGAGAAAGGTTTGTTAACAAAGTTATTTCTCGAATGATAAAAGTTAATACTTTAAAAATATTCTCGTGCAAACACGAGTAGAGCAAGAAGTACGTACGTTTTGGCTTGAAAGTCTACACGCTGACTGACTATCTTTCTGATTGCAACCAGTTTAACTTAGTCCTGCACGGGCGCAAGCGACGCGCAACTCGGATACATTTAGTGTGTCACCAACATAAACCCGCGTTCATCCATTGGCTCTAGCGTTCGCAAGGGCAAAATGAAAAACGCGTTATGCGGTTAGTTTGGGTTGACCTGAAACCCGGGGCTTGTTGCTGGGTGGGTTCTTTTTTTTATTGACATGTCAATCACTTAGGTCATACGGAAACTGGACTGACGAAGTGCAGACTAACAGACTTTGAAGTTACAAGATTTTAGAAGTTTTCTGTAGTTGAACCATACACAGGCGTCATACGCTGTGTTGAACGAAAAATCACGAAACTCTGTACTGATTTTAGTGATATGAACTTAAAACCATAATAAAAAGTTTAACGTTGTCAAAAAATGATGTCTAAACAATATTTGTGATTAAAGGTTTAAGCAGGAAAGTTTAGTGTTGCTGAAATAATGTTAAACACTGTTAATTACACTGGAAGTGATAGATGGAGTCTTTAAGAACCGTGTAGATAAGGAAGTAGGAGCTGAAAATCTACAAGTCTAGGTAAATTTGGAAGTGATAGATGATGTCTTTAAGAACCGTGTAGATAAGGAAGTAGGAGCTGAAAATCTACAAGTTTAGGTAAATATGGAAGTGATAGATGGAGTCTTTAAGAACCGTGTAGATAAGGAAGTAGGAGCTGAAAATCTACAAGTTTAGGTAAATATGGAAGTGATAGATGGAGTCTTTAAGAACCGTGTAGATAAGGAAGTAGGAGCTGAAAATCTACAAG